GGTTAGGAATCATTATCCTTGAGAAAGGTATTGATTTAATTTGGAATTTCCTGCAGCGATAAGGGTTTGGAACTAAGTAGTTGAAGAAGAATTTCAGTTATTTGGACACTTAGGGGGATTTACAGTCTAGATACTTGCCTTTTTACATTGAATACCTATATTCATAATTTTCTATAATTTATATTCACTAGAATATCTGTTCCTTTTAATTTATTATTCTTTTACTTTTAGCAATTTCATCAACAAGGTTTATTTTTCATATTTATTAACAATTACGCAATTAAGGAAAAGTTTCTTAATAACAGTCCCTGTGGATACGACACTTGGTACTTTAATTTTAATTTTAATAATATTACTTCGACAACGGGTACACTTGCCCAGTGATCAGATTTTTACACACCACCACTATATTCATATCAAATATGAACATCTCATCAATTAACGGTACTCTAGGTACTCTCGGAGCCCTAACTTGCTGCCAACGTACTTTTCTTAATTATGAAGGATTTACGCAGCATAGATAGTCAATGGTAAGTCAAAACACACACGGATACAACATGTGCATTCATAGTCTTCCAAGCAAAGGTATAGTTAAGAGCTCGGCTAAGAAATAAGTGTGAGGCCTGTAAATGCATCTCACTTTTACATCGTGTACACATCAGTGAACCACATTTACTACTCTCATTTTCACCATATTTTCATATTCAACTTCAGACCCCATACCCCCAGTATATCCTTGAACTATCCATACAGTATCTCAACAGTGGCACATCAAGTTATACTACTCTAACACATATGTTGCAAACACACTAATCGATGTACTACAACAAATGTGTTATAATCTTACCTGTCAGTGTATTACAACACATATATCATAAGCGCACCAATCATTGTATTTGACACACGCACTAGTATTCCTTATTCCTTTCTTTACACATATTCATCACTTTATCATATCACATAATTCTCTTTTCTTTTGATAACATATAAAATCTCCAATTCACATACTTGATCTCATTCATTATTTTCAATTACACATATAATCACAAGGCAGACACATATCATTACAGGTCCAATACATTTATCATGTTCGGTCATTTAAGCACATGTTTACAAAATAGTAACATATTATCACATAATTCCATACAATATGCCGAGGGTCGAACACCCTCAAACTCAGCCCAAATCGTGCAATTCAGAATATACTGCCGAAGGTCACATGCTCTCAGTCTTAATAGAATTTTCTAGCATAAAGTTCATCATATTCCACTTTTTCACCATTTAACACATATATAAAGAATATAGTAATGTACTTATAAAACTATTTAACTCATTCTTACTTATGACTATTTAAGATAAACTTCATCTCAAGTGATTTTAAATAGATAAAAAACCTTTTATACCAAAAATCCATTTCAAACTTATATAGTTCAAGAAAACTTTATGGATTTACTTTTTAAAATAAGATAACCCTCTTCTCTAATGATTAATAAACATATTTAGGTAGAACATAGGGTTCAGGAGTAACTCCCCTTACTTGGAAATGGATCTCAAGAACCAAGTTCTTCGTATTCTCTAGGGAGAAACTTCACGTCTCGACCAAAAATACTACTCAAGGACTAGAGCTCTTCCTAACATCATAAGGTAAATTTCTATTATAAAAGAGAGAAAAGAGAAATAGGAACAAGATTCAAAGGATGAACTTCAGAAACTTACTTATATTCGAGTGAAATAGATGTTTAAGCTCAGATCCAAGAGAGATCCAGAGTTATTGAAGATTTTCTCTGAGAAGGGGAAGGGAGAGGGAGAGAACGAAGAGGATGGAGAGGGATAGGTGATTTGGTTGAAAATGAAGTTTTTAGGCGCGAGAGTTCTTTAAATATCTTTCAAACTTGTGATTTTCTCGCTACAACGAATAGTTCTTGCTACAGCGAAAAAATCAAAAATTTTCTTCCTTTGCTATCTGTCATTCTAGCTACATTGAGAGCTCCTTGCTACAGCGAGAGATTCTAGCTATAGCGAGAGGGCTCTAGAAGTTTCATTTTCACTGCCTCATTTTCGCTACAGTGAGATATCCTACAATTCATATCAATTAAACACTTCTAATTTCAAATAACATGCTCAAATAACTAACATAATTTGCAATAATAATAAATTACAAAATGAGGGTGTTACAATTAGATTCAAAGATAATTGGATCAAGTGTTCATAAATTGTTTTATCAAAAGCAAATTTAAAGAGATTGTTAAAGCAACTATAGTTATAAAGTGTTACAACACCAAATAATAAACACTAATGAAGTGGTTTAGTAGCAAATAACTGGCTAAGGAATAACCTTGGTATGCACCAAAAACAGAATCATGGAGATTAGTAGCTTTGGGAAGGAATCTAGTTACAAACACAACTTGTCTTCATAGTGATGATGGAAAAGAAGTAGTTATTCATTTGCTAAGGATATGTTTGGGAGAGGGATTTTGGAGGGGAAGGGAGAGGAGGGCTTATTTTTAAATTTTATACTAAAAGAATTATATATTATTTAGAATGACAAATATATTATTAATACATTAAATTTTTGTTGTTATATTAATTTATATCTTTTATTTTTAAAAATTATTAATTTTAAATATATTTATTTAAAATATAAAAATAAGTTCTCCCCTCCCTTCCCCTCCAAAAACTCTCTCAGAAACATACCCTAAGAGATTGTGATTTCTCAAAATAGATTTGGCTTCACATTCCCCTGCTACATTCACTTTAACACATCTCCTATTATTATTGGTTATAATTTATTAAAAATTACAAAATTATATAGATCGTATTTTTTCACACTCTTAAATTAATATATATATTTTTATATTTTGATAGTTTTCAATAAATTATACCCAATAATAAAAAATGATCTTTGCGTAAATATTACATTTCATCAAACATACTCATACTTAATATTTAATGGGCCTCGGTGTACTTATACTTAATACTCGTCAAAATTATTTTTTTCAAAATAATTCTTTGTACTGATAAGTCCAATTAGTATTGGTTAGACTCTTTTACTTAAAAATAAAAATAGAGAAAATTTCTGAAAATTTTGAAATTATTTATCTTTCATTTAATTTTATTGTATTTATTTCTCTGTTCACTCAAATCCATTTGTTCTTTTCAGGGGATGTGAGATACTGGGTTTGTTAAATTCTTATTATTCACCCAATTTATCATAAGAAAGAAATTTGTTATTATGAAAGGTGGGAAACATTAAGCATAAGAAAAAGAAAAAAGAGGATAGCGGATTAGCAACATCAAAATTTAAGCTTTTTATTTGATCTAATGATTGTTATTAATATCTTTCACCTCTCATTTGAAATATTCCTTTATTTATATTATTAAAAATTATATTAACATATTACCTTTAATTTTTTAAAAACATAAATACTCTTTTGGTTCCTATATTTGAATTGATGTGCATTCTAATCTTCTCAATTTTAATTGTGATAAACTGTAATTCTACCATTTTATTTAAAGAATTTTAACTTATTTTATCATTTGAATTAATATTTTATTTTTTTAAATAGTTAAATTTCTCTTAAATTTTATTGTGCAAAATATTAACAGTGTAACTTAGATAAATCATGTCAAATTATGAAGAATAATTACAAAAAATATTAAAAGAATGGGGGGAAATAAAATGCAGCACCCCTCTGCTAGCATTAGTACGTCCTGTACTAAATTATAAGGAAGCGAATTTGCATAGTGCCTTTTATGAGAGTAGTTCAAATCACACTTTAAAGTGAAACAAACTGCTCTTTAAAATGATATGAACAACTCTTTTATCTTACGATGTAGTGTGTTATCACATGAGTGACGAGAATCATATGTTCCTCAACCACATAAAAATTATTCATTTTATAAGAGATTATTTCGTACTTTTTAATGTTCATTAATATAATAATCATTAATAAAATAACAATTCTCAAATTTTCATTTAAATCGACTAATAATTAATACTAACTCAATATATTTTTCACATTCACAGACGTCATTTATGTTTCTGCTTTGCAATATGATATTGTTTAAACATTTCTAATAATATCAAGCTTTATTTTTATTTTGGCATTTCTAATTTCTAGAATTTTAGCCTCAGATTAGTAAAAGACCAGAAAAACTTTCTAGTTATAAATCGGAAATAGAACCAATAGACAATTCCTAGTTATAATTTTGAATCTGTTATTATATGTTTGCTCTCGTTTCTGTTATTTTTAAAGTTGAAACAGTTTTTCTTTATCCGTGTGCAATGAGTGTCGACGTTGATACCAGTTTATTGCAAGAGTGAAGGCAAAAATATCAAGCCGTAATAAATATTAGTGATTTTGACCTTCTCAAAGGGGAGAGTTCCTTCGACCAAAAAAAGAAAGAAAAAAAGGAGATTTTTCCTCAGACTATCAGTCAGATACTAAAGCAAGAGTTAGGCATTGGTAGAAGATTATTGTACATCATTCAATAAACTACATCTTCCCAAGCGCGCATTGACGATCCCATTCTAAATTTACGGTACTAAACAAAGATCCACAGTTCACTAATTGTAATCACAAGATGGTAAAATATAATTAACCAATGAAGACATTTTACTTACCAAATGCCTACTTTTCCCCTTGAACATTACCCAATACTGATAAAGAAGTTATTTTAAAGTTGTGCTCAAAGTAAGAATATTGTATTCTATAAAATATTTCCTAGCAACTGTATGGCATGACACCTTGCTTTGTCAAGATAATGAAAAATGAATTATTGATAAAATTTGCTTAACCTTCCTCATGTAGGGAGGAAATTGAAAAGTGTAAGAAATTTTTAATTTAACCTTAAAGTAAACAATAGCCACGTGAATTCTCCATTGTCAAAATACAACATAGCCCTGTTCCCTCCTTCCCAGAAAATATTGTAAAACGAGAAAAACAACAAAATCCTACATTATGACAATGGCATGCTGAATAAAAAATTTGTTGAAACCTTTATTCTGATTCATGAATAACATCTCTATTCAAGCATAAACATTTTCCCATTCTCTTTCTTAGTCTTGTGTGGATTTTTTTCTTTGGCTTCGAGGATGAATTTTCCATGTGAGGTGATGGCTGCTCATTCACTTCAGGTGATGGATCCATTGTCACATTAGTTGATAGCTCCATTCTCCCATTAGGTGATCGTTGCAAGATCACTGTACTTGATGGCTCTATTTTCACAGCAATTGGTTGATCATATATTAGATAGATGGCAGTCTTCATAACAGTCAAACCAGGTCTAAAAACTGCAAAAATTTCCACATTGTCACCAGGTCCTAGATTTGATGTTAAACCCTGCCAATCTTCATTATTAAAGGAAGTTATTGTGTCTCGCTTGCAGACCTGGATAGTCTGCTTAGAGTAATTAACCATCAAGACACAAACAAGGCTTTCATCTGCTGTGATTTCCGGGGGTGATGAATAAACAACACACAAAGTAATTCCTTTCATGCAACAATTACTACCCCCAGGCACTCTGAAAGGCACTGAATGTCCTTCCCTCGTATGGGTCGACCAATAAGGATAGTTGTCACCAGGGAGAAAAGCATCCAAAGATTCGGTAGTTGTCAATCCCTGTAACATGAATAGAAAAACTTAGACATTGTATTGTCATTTCAAATTCCAAAATGGGCATTTTTAAGATAACAATGGTAGATTGTATACCGAAAATATGGTCATAGTAATAAATTGAAACAAATTTAGTTAACAGTTCTTTGGCTTATCCATCAACAGCAGAACATTAGGATGCATTTCTCCTTTCGTCACACAGCAGGTTTTTCAGATTATATTTCATTTGTATCTTTTCTTCTCTAGATGATATAGATTTTTCATAAAACTCCACCTATGGTCTTATAGTCGGTCGCAAGATCTGGTAAAGATGAAGGGTTGTGTGCAGCCTTTAGCAGTTAACGTAAAACTTATTAAAACATAATTCACATAGATCACTCCTGATGATATTTTTATAAATATTTTAACTATAAACTAAATAAAAATATAAAAGGATTAGAAATTAGAATAAATAATCTAAATTTGACATTATCAATTAAATTTGAGTTAGAAAAGTAAAATAAGATCTTAAGAGAACGGATAATGATAAAATAGTCAACCTTAATAGTATTCCTATTAAAGTTTAGAAATGTATAGTGGGTGACTTACTATTTTCTTTAATGGAATATTTTAAGATCTAAGAATAATGTTAGATGAATAGAGAAAGAAAACTTGGGTCCTTGTATACAAGAACGTGAGTGATATCTAGGATTATACGAATAGAGATAAAACTTTTGAGTCATGCTACGAAGTTGTGAAAAAAGGTAATTAAATATCGACTAAGAGAAGAAACTAATATTGCAGATAATAAATTTGGTTTTATGCTAAGAAGGTTTATAACGAAAGTTATATACCTTATATGAATGTTGATAGAAAAGTACTAGTACAAAAAGAAAAGATTTGCATATGATTTTTATTGACTTGAAAAATGTAAGTGATTGAGACCAAGAGAGATATTGTGGAAGGTTTTAGAAAGGAAATAAGCATGTGTAATATATGTTTGAGTTATACAAGACATGTACGAGAGAGTAACTACACATGTGAGAACTCCTAGAGACATATCTAAGAACTTTTCTATAGAGATAGATTTACAATAAGGCTTTGCATTGTGCCCTTACATATTTAATCTAGTCTTAGATGTGCTTATACTTATGAGTGATATACAAAAGATTATTCTTTAATGTATACTCTTAACATAGTGTTGGGTGAAGAATAAAAAAAAATATTAATTTTAAACTTGAGTTATGGAGAGAGAGTTTAAAATCCAAGACTTTTTGATTAAGTAAAAGTAAAATAGAATATATGCATTACAATTTTACCAAAAGGATAAGATAAGAACCATGCATTAGAAATTAAAATTTGAGATGATATTATACTACAAATTTCCATGTTTAAGTATTTGAAATTGATTTTACAAAATGATAAAAAATTAATAAAAATATTACTTATAAAATACAAGTAAAGTGGTAAAAATGAAGAAATGTATCAAGAGTTATTATGATTGTAAAGTATTTATCAAGATGAAAGAAAAATTTATCATACTATTATACAACCAACTATTTTATATGGTAGTCAATGTTAGATTCTAAAAATAAAATAAAATAAAATAAAATAAAGTGTTGTAACATAAATAAAAATGTTAAGATGAATGAGTGATGACATACAAAATGATAGGATAATAAATTAATGTATAGCAAGAATATTCAAATATTTATAGTAAAAAAGATGATAGAAAAATTGTTCAAAATAATTTGGTCACGTACACAAAATGCAGTAGAAGTGACAGGAAGGAGAGTGAATAACATGACATTTAGTCTGTATAGAAAGGGCAAGAAAAAACAAGGAAGAATTTTAGAAGACATTATTAAAACATATCGAATAATAAATAATACTTTATGAGAATTTAGTTTTTAACATGGTAATAGCATTTTCTTATCATGTAGTCGACCTCACATTATATATGGCTTCTTCATAAGAAACAATCCTCCTTGAACCAAGGACATTCACAACCTAGTGGAGTTAACTCTCCTTATATTGGAGTTTTTTTAAGAACAAAGTCTGAACTTGAGATCATACTCGAAGGAAATCAAACATGTATCGCTCGAAGCAGTCTCTTGTTGGTTCAATTGTAATTTGATAATCAATGGGAATACAACAAATGTCAAGCAAAGCTTAACAAGAACAATTTGGAAATAAATTTCCTAGTGTAGTGTATGAGCCTGACAAGATGCCTTACTGAATGTTGAAATAGGATAAGGGAAAGCATTTAACTTTCCTTTCAATATTTTCAACTAGATTATTTCATGTTCCCTTATATTAACAGAAAAAATGAATGGTAAAGGTAAGAACATAGAGACATCGAAAAAGAACCTTTAGTGTGCTCTTCTTGAGGATATTGAAGACCTCTCCGCAGCTTCCCATTGCAATCAAATTACACCTCAATGAATGCTCTGGGATTTGTGATGTAGATGCTACTCCTTCAATAAAATTTGCACCATATATGTCATTCATAATTGTTCTTAATTCTTTAGATAGCTGAATTTCCATATCACATTGAACCAAAACACTTCGAAGTTTTGACGGGATGCAAAGCGTTGGAGCTAGACCATTCAAATTGCTTGCTTGCACATCCATGGAAACTAACGATGATGACATAGCCCAAAGTGGATGGATTTGAGATAGGGGATTAATTGTAGGTGACATCCAAGACCAAATGATAGAAGGAAACACATTACGTGATAATCCTTTGTATCCACATATGGATATGTATCCAATGCTTTTTGATTTTACTATCAAAGAGGGCACTTGTTTAATAGCTGTATTGTCTGCATATAGAGTTGTCAAGGATCCCATTTGCACTATCTCTTCTTCTAGCCTGTCAATCTTTGAACAACCAGAAATGATGAGAGTTTTTATAGATTGCAACTTATAGATACTTTTTGGGAGATTGTTGAGTCGTATACAATCTTTCAAATTTAAGAGAACAAGATTGCGGAGATCTCCAATGGACTGGTGTACCATGCACAAATTTGGACAGTCTTTGAGAATGAGCTTTTCAAGACTTGGTAACTTCGAAAAGTCAGGGGTGCTTTTCAAATTATTGGAATGACTAAGATTGAGAAATTTTAGCCTTTCCAGCAACTACAAGAAAATTGTTTTGAAAAGAAAAATTAGAGAAAGAAATGGAGGAAGAAATTAATGCAACCATATAATGTTATGTAATATAATATATACCTGGGGCTCCTTCCATACAAGTTTAAGATTATTGCGTTTTAAGTCAATTGCAACTGCATTTCCCTGATAAAGATCGATTGGTATGTATTCTGAAGGAAATCCTTGCCAACAGACCCATCTTAACTTTTTGTTAAGATACTTATAATCTCCATAAAGTTGTACATGATCAAGTTGCAAAAGTCTTAATCTCTTCATATTCTCAAATGCTTTGGTGTTGAAGCAAATTGTACTTGTTTGCAACTTCAAAGCCAATCCCTCAATTTCTTTTGTTCCCTACAGAATAAAGAGAGTAAAAATATTAAAAAAATATAAAGTGAACCTTTGCTGGTTTCTCATTGAAAAAAAACAAATAAGCAATACAAAAAAGCAGTAGCCAAAACATACATCGATGCTGCTCATTTAGATTCGTTATTCATATTTTATTTATCTAACTCAACACTTAGGTTGAGTTGTCAATAAGTTAGCTTAAAAATTCTTATATCTTCAAGCAACATACTATTTGTAGACATAATATAGGGAAATAATATTAATTGGAAATATAAATATAACAAATTATTATATTAACGCAATTGAACTAATGAAATGTCAAATTTAAGTAATATTGTTTAAAAAGATTCTTAACCTATTGTAAAATAAGTATATTTGAAAACCAACAGAAATTTAACGAACTTGTATTTTTCACATTATACATATTCAAATGCATTTGAAGTAATTCATTAAAAAATATGAAGGAGCTTATGATCATACTAGACAATGAATATCTACACACACAAATTGACTTAAAGTTTTAAATATGTTAAATCAACTTTTCATATTTTATAACAATATCTTCTTACTCACTTCTTTGTCAATACATCTGTGAAGAGATGAAATATATATAAACTAATAGCACCGTTGTTTGAATTGATGAAAGTTCTAATATATATGGTTTCGTTGATCATTCAAAATCTCTTTACTATTTTTCCTTAAACAGCAACCATTTTGAACACTTCCTTATAGTAAAGGTATTCTCTCTTTGTATAAGAATTAAAAAAATGGTATTCTAAATTTTATTAAAAAAAAAAGTATTATCTAAGTTCTTAATATTCCTTTTATCTGTTACATTAATTAAAATATCACTTAATCATTATTTTCTTTCAAACAAATTATTAATTGTTAAGGCTCACTGATTTTACAAAATAACATTAAAAGCAAGGTGTGAACAGAAAGTTCTTACATTATGTTCTGTCAACACATCAACGACATCCTCCAGAATGCATAATCGACTGCGTTTCTCAGGTTCCTTTGGTGAACTTTGACGGATAATTTCTATTCCCATGTCACGTAGCAGATCATGGATTGCAAGCTTGTTTTCATTTTCAACCTTGATGAGACTCATTTCTATCAAGGTTGCTATTCCATCATCAGCATGTAGTCCACAGCCATTTAGTATCTTTGTAACATAGGTTCTTTCTTTACCAATAAAGAAACAACATATGTCAAGAAATATTTCCCTTTCCATGTAACTCTGTAAACCATCATAGCTTATTCTTAATATATCTTGAACTTTCTTTTGGGGAGTACGTTCTTTCAGTTTTGACAGTACTCTGTTCCACTGTTCCTCTTTCCTTTTAAATAAATGAGATCCAAGAACTTCAAGAGCCAGTGGTAGTCCTCCACAGTAAGAAACCATATTTATCGATAGCTCGGTGAATTCTTTTGTTGGTTTTGCTTCCCTAAATGCATGCCAACTAAAAAGCTCAAGGGACTCATTTTCGTCCATTTCCTTCATTTCAAAGACACGGTTAGCTTTAAGGAAATCAAGCATTCTTATATTTCTGGTTGTAACGATTAATACACTTCCTGAACCTATCCATTCAAGGTTTCCACATAGGAAATTTAATTGATCAAAATCATCCACATCATCAAGTACAATGAGTGTTCTACTCCCACAAAGTCTTTCCTCGATCATAGTTATCCCCATTGCAACGTTATGTATCTCCACCTTTGTTTTTAGGACATCTGAAAGAAGTTTTCCTTGTAAATAAGCATACCCTTTGTCAGCCGTTTTGCAATTTTCTCTAATATTTTCAATGAAACTTCTGTTCATGAATCTGCGATAAATTTGATTATAGATGGCTTTTGCTGTCGTTGTTTTACCCAATCCTCCCATTCCCCAGATCCCCACTACACAACCTTCCGTTAATTGATTTTCAATAAACTCAATCACTTCTTCCTTACGGGACTGTAATCCAACTGGAAATTTAGCAACAGACAAAAATGTATGGCCCAATTTTTCCGAAACATCCTTTAAGATATCTCTCACTTGTTCATCTTCATTCCTTCAATAATAATTATAAAAAAGAAACAATGAGCATAAATTAATTGCAAAAATTATTAGATCAAATTAACTCGTAAGTTTCACTCTCAAATAAAACAACCATAATCCTCTCTATTTCATGTTATCTGTCCACTTTAACAGATATAGCACATAAATTAAAAGATTAATGTAATAATTATCCTTATTTATATTAAAATTATTCTTAACCATTAGTATGACTTTCACTATTATTGATTCTCTCTAGTTAAATTATAATAAATACATAAAAAATATTTAAGAATTAGATATATGTATAAAAGCATAAGTGAAAGATAGTAATCAAGGTTGAATGGATATTAATAGAAGATTTTTTTTAAAAGTGAAGATGTAAAATAAAAGAAATCGAGTATTATTTTGGGCAAAACTTAAATGCACCCTTATAAATATTTGTTTGCCTTAATTATTAATTGAAAATTAGAGTTTTACCTTAAAATATGTTTTGATACAAAATAACACTTCAATTCTAATTAAAAAATTACAGTACAAAAAATGCATCTATAGTACAGCATCACATAAGTTTACCTGCAATTCCTGATATCCCAACCTACCAAATCTGCAGCTTCAGAGAGTGCTCTCTTCCACTTGCCCCACGCATCTAACATCTCTATCCCGGAGTATGTATTTCGTACAAGTTCTTCCAAAGATTTTCCAAAAGCACCCTTCTGATTACGCACATCAGAAGGATCAACATCGTAAAATATAGGTTCAACAACCTGGCCATAATTTGTGTGGCACTCCATGATCTTCACCAGCTCATTAAGACACCACCTAGATTTGGCATAGGTTCTGGAGAAGACAACCAATGCTATCCGAGAGCCTTCTATGGCTCGCATTAGTTCTGGGCCTAACTCTGTTCCCTTGTGAAGCTTGTAATCAATGAAAGTGTGGATTCCTGCATTTGAAAGGCCAGCATAGAGATGAGGAACGAAGTTGTTACGAACATCTTCCCCTCTGAAGTTGATGAAGACCTCGTAGATCCACTCATGATGGGAGGATGACATTGGTAATTAGATGAAAGGAATTGGAGTCAACGTTGTCGCTCTTAAAACTTATTCAGCTTCGCTGTTCCTAACTGATGTGAAATGTCTTCGCTCTTAAAACTTCCTTGGCCTCGACAAGCATTGGTGGAAGCAATCATCTGCATTTTTTATAGCTAAAAGTACAAGCGCGTGAAAAAGGAGTAAAAAAAAGAACGCATAACTTTATATGTTTATGTGAGAACAGTGTCCCACTTGGTGTTATTTATGCTTAACAGGGCCAAGGTGTGAGACTATCCATTGTAGAACGCGCCTTTTTGTCTCAACCCTTGGGCATGTGACCTGTGCTGAGCTAAGTTAACTTCAAATTATCACTTAATTTTGCAAGTATATTTAAAAACTAATACCCGAGAAAATAAACTTTTTTAAATAGTAATACAAAAAATTTATTATAATTTTTTGTTGTATTTTTATTATTTTAAAATATAATAATTTTTCAGAATTATTTTATAACTCAACAACAACCTATCAAATCAAATTTCAAATTCTTATAATATCAAAACTAAAACATTTAACTTCTTAATAACCACAAAAAGTTGAGAATAGCAAGAACAATCTCATTATCTAAGGATATGCAAATAGTAAATAAATAGGGTGAATCACATCAGAATTATATCATAATTTTTGACAAAATAAAATAATAAGAATTAATTTTTCATAAATTAAGTATGAAAATATGATAATATTAAAATTTTCTTATAAATAAGTCCATGCATAAAAATATATCAAGATATTAAAATAATGAAAGATAAATTATACCTTAATAATTAAATTTACACTAAAACAATAGAGAAATATATATGTATTGAATTTTATTTAATATTTACATACTATTTGTAACGCCCCAAATTTTTATAATATTAATTATTGTATTTATATAAATCTAAATATATATGTATGTGAGTATTTTTGCATATGTGTTGTGGATATGTGTATATATATGTGTATGCATGACTGGATAGGCTGAAAATAGGCTAAGTGCCTAAGTGCAAAGTGTAATTCTGGACTATTCTCACTGTAGCGAGAGGGCCCTGGGAGAAAGGACTGAAACTGTCACCTTCTCGCTGTAGCGAGAGACGTCTCGCTGTAACGAGAGAGCGACAGTTTGGGGTGCATTTCTGGGTGCAGTATCGTTGTAGCGAGAGGATCTCGCTGTAGCGAGATTCTGCAGAAACCAACGTGCAATTTCGTCTGAGATTTTTGCTGCAGCGAGAGGGCGTATTGTGACCAGAAAAGGATTTAAAGGGGGTTAGGGTTCGGGGAGGATTATTTCTCCCTCTCCCTTCGAAATCTCTTGGATCCTCTCATACCCAAAGCCCTATTCTACCGATTAATTGCCTCCAAAGCCGTTCGGGAGCTTGATTGAAGGTTGAATCCATGTGAGAAACGTTTGGAGGTGAGTTTTAATGATTATGATTTCCATTTTTCAACCCCATTATCTGTTTTTGTGGTTTCCTTGGATTCTCATGGAATTCTTCCATGTGTTTAGGCCGCAATCCGTGTGAGAGAGCATTTCTTGGTAGATTTAGTGTGTGGGTCTTCGGTCTAAGGTAAGGGGCTCTACCTATCTCAAATGTGTTGTAATTCTTGTGTGTTTTGTTAATTAATGCAATGTGGTTGAGATAGGGAGTAGAAATCGTGTGTTTGATGGAAATTGGTGTGCAATGTGATGTGTGCTAGAATAGTTAGGCCCCGTGGAGAAAATTGTGTGTGATAGAATGCCAATGATTGGTGACTTAATGATATTGTGAATAAATGAAGGTCATGTGCCATATATTGTGGATAAAATGTGGGCTATGTGCCGAGTACTGTGAATTGAATATAGGTTGTGTGTCGTATGCAAGCATGAATATTGCGTGCGTGAATAAAATATGTGTGAATGAGCATGTTAGCGCCGTTATAATGTGCTGTGAATGGTTCAGCGATACACTGGGGATGTGAGAGATAAGGACGGTAGAAATACCTTGAGAAAGAGGGAGTGGTGGTGACACCGACTGCGGAACGGGTGCACCACGGGTCACACACTCTCTTCCTAACTAGACCTCTGACCACTATCTTTGCTGAGCGACCAGTGACTGCCCACGTGGTATTCGTGAGGTGGGGGTAACCGGCAACCATTCATGGTGTAAATTTGTGATCACAGTGCCACAGTGAGTGGCTGGCGTGCATATGCATGGGTTTATGTATTGTACTTATGAATGTGAAATGCTACTTGTGATTGTGTTTGTTTTAATGTATTGGAAATGTTCTGGAGGTGAGACTCTACATGGATTGTGTGTTTTTGGGTAGTGTAGAGTACTCACCCTTACATTCATTTTTCAAGTAACCAAGACAATTAGCACCGGATTCAGTGAAGGGACGGATGGACTGCTATAGGACTTAAATTTTATTTTGAAATTGTTGTAATTGAACTAGTCTTGTAGCAGTTATTTGATATTAATTTGTAACCCTTCACTTATTTCCAAATCTTTTATGAAAAATTTGGTTATCCGATTTGCGAAATTATTATTTAATTAAAATTAAATTTAAAGTGTTACACTATTAATAAGATGCATTAGAACTTAGAATATATAATTACAATTTCAAAATAAACTAAGTTTTAAGAGCAGTTTTTATCCACATCTAAAATGCTAAAGGCCCAATCCATGTCCTCATCATCGTGCCAACCCTATATCTTAGTTAGATCCTCTAAAATCAAGTCTTCAGTCTCGCTAAGATTATCAATATTGGCCACCATCTCAATGTCAGTCTCCTAGTCTAAGGTGAACCGAGTTGGTTTTCTAACGTAGTCATGATCAAGGAATGTATAAACATAATTCATAATTGCTGAGGTTTTGACTATCCCTCTATAAATATGGATACTAAAGGTGTGACAGATCCTATTATTTACAAAATAATCAAAAGGAACACTGTAATCTAATGTTATTTTTAGGGTAGAAATATTACTCGATCCATTATCATAGTCTACAATAAATTTAAAATAACACAATCACTGGTATTCTATAAATACATAATTTAACCTATAATTCACAAGACAATTTATTAGTCTAAATACTCTTTGAGATTCAGACATCCTTGTTCTCTCAAATGTTTAGTAATGATGAGCATGGACTAATAAATTGTTACACATCACAACATCAAACATATAACAAGTACATTAATAGTTTTCACAAATGCATACATACTCAAACACAATTCCATATAATTCTCTCCCTCGAATACACACTTTCCATGCACTGTGATCACAGATATTCGATGCCTCCAGCACTTCATGAGGTCTTACACATATAGGTAAATAGTCATTGTAGGAAATGAGTGTGATGCCATGTAACGCATTCATTTTCAAAAAGAGTGTGTGCAAGTACGCGAATGTTGTTCACCACTTTACGTTTCGCCTAGATTACCTAATCTTCTCCAAACTCTATACTTCCAGTGTATCTTTGTAACTATTTACACTAATTCCTTTCATCAATTATACCCATCATACACTTCCTTTCATCTCATTCTCATTATTCAAATAAACAAGATCGTGCTTAGTAAGTACTTCCAGAATAAGTCCATGTAACACATATTGTGAAATATGATACAATCATCTAAAACCAACCAAACATATATCATCAACTTTTCACAACTATATAATATCATTCGAATATACTTTTTCAAACAAAACAAAGAATACACAACATTACTCTCATAAGCCCAAAATATTAACTATGTTTTAATGATGAGATAGAGCTCTCCTTATCTTAAAATGAAGATTTGAAAGAAGATTTGTAGAGAATATCATTCAAAGAATAAAGCTCTTCTTAGAGTCGATCAGATTGAACGTCCAAGTTCGGATTCAAGGAATAAACAAAGTTTTTTAGGAAAGAAAGTAAGAGTCCAGAGAGAAATGAGAGAAAAGGTAACTTGGATTGCAATGTAAGTTTTCTGGGTTGAAATTCCTTAAATACCCTTCAAATTCGCGCTCTCTGGCTTGAGCGAACTAATTCTTGCTAGAGCAAGATACCATTTCACCTGGACAAAAACAATAGACAGTGGTTTTCTACACTTTTTGTTTTGTTATATTCTCGCCTTAGTGAGAAAGGGTCTAGAGAGCTATTCATTTTTCTTGCGATTCCTTGCCTAAGTAAGCCCATCCTGCCTAGGCAAAAGGACAGTTGGGACAACTTTATCCTATCTCACTTGAGCAAGGTTCATCTTGTTTGAGCAAGAGTGCTTTGAAATCATCTAGTCTAGAACACTTAGTATCATTTGAGTGAGACATATCTTACTTAAGCGAGACCCCTACAACAAACATCATTCAAAGATTTTTAAATTAAAACACAATTTAACCATAATCTATAACAAACAAAAAATTTTAAAAAAAAGAGTGCTACAAAACAGACTCAATGAATTCATAATAACTACAAGTAACAAAAAAAAAAAAGAAAAAGAAACAAATAACAGACGAGTAGTTCACAAATATAGAATTTACTTATAACACATTATTTTAAAAGAAATTTATTCAACTATTTTTTCAAAAGCTTTGGTCATGATCAAAAGTTCACAAATTTACGCCATTAATAAAATTATCATTTCAACACTTGTACTCTAATAAAGTGTGCATATGCAAAATTTAATAAAAAATTTTTCCTTTAACATAAAAAAATAAAATAATGTCAATAAATGACTTGCTTTCCCAAGCATATAATTTTAGGCAATAATACATGACAAATATTGGAAATAATAATAATAAAAATATGTCATTATGATCACTATCACCTCACAACAATGAAAAACTACTTCATCGCTTCCTAAAATTATTTTAGAACTGCAAGAGAGCTAGTGAACAATGAATTTGGACATAATGCAACAAAGCTTTAGGAAATTATTTGGATCTATTTTTATACTCAAAATTTAAAAATATGCCTTCTAATAAATTAAAATGCTAATAACTAATTTTTATATTGTAGAGTTGTAAGCGTACCTTATGAACTCAAATAAAAATTTTCTCTCCAATAAATAACATATTTTTATCTTTATAGAATTATCCCTAACTCTAAAATTTCTTCCAAAATTATTTATGTTAAAGAGAAAAATAAATGAGATATAAAAGCTTTTTCAAAATCTCAAAAAGATAAATAAAAGCAATAAAATTACCTAGAAGAATGAGAGAAAGAGAGAGGAAATGGAGCAAGATTGTGAAACATGTGGTGTTGCCACTAGATTGAATAATAATTAATTGGGGCTGAAGGGGCTATGGCTTCGTGTCTATCTTGACAACATAACTATAGATTTATCCTTAGATTTTATTGTTATGCTAGAGGGTAAGGATGTAATTTTGTATTAAGACTTTTACTTTTTAACGTGATTACTTTTGAATTATTTGTTTGATAAATATAAACAACTATGACAAGTATACTAATCATTTTAATGAATATAGAAAGTTATCGTTCTCATGAAGATTTGACCAATTAGTCAATAATATATCTTTAAATATTTGATAAAGTTTATAAAGAAAATACAAATGTAAATTATACTAGTAAGAATTATCTATAAGGTATTTACAATTTTGAGAATTAATGTTGAAGGATTAAATGTAGAAATGATGCAAAAAAATAAAATTAAATTGTAATGAACAACACAACATAACATAAACACATAAACATAACACACATATGAATTTTTCTACATCTCACTTCATGCAGAATAAGTGTCCATCTTAGTGTTTATCCAAGCATTGCATTATCTTTGATTATATTGACTACATTAAAACTCTAACTCTTATATCTTGGCAACTAGCACAATAATAAAACTCACTTTAAATTTAAACATAAAAGAAATGTGTATATTGTTAATTATCCTCTTAATCTATCTAAAGGAAACATAAAATACTAAAGTAAAATCAATTTCTCATGTAAAACTAAAACTAAAACAACAATCCTAAAAAAAGTGTAATCAAAGAGGAAGG